CACACACACACACACACACACATACCCACACACTCACACATACACACACACTCACACACATACCCCCACACACATACATACACACTCACACACACTCACACACACACATACATACATACTCACACTCACACACACTCACACACATACCCACACACACTCACACACACTCACACACACACACATACACACACACATACCCACACACACTCACTCTCACACACACACACACTCACACACTCCCTTTTGTCGGGAGAAGAGTTCTGTTGATAAACCCGGGGTGGGGGGAGGGTGATGGGGAGGAGACTGCCTTCTGTCCCCACAGGCTGTGCCTGAAAAACAAACGAAGGTGCTGACCTGTCCTCCCAGGGGAGTGCAATAGCCTGGAGGCGGCGGCAGCCAAGGTTGCCGTGGTTCTGACTCAGTGGGTCTGGGTGGGAGCCGGGACTGGCCTTCCTCTCGTCCCCAGGCAGCCCTGGGCCTCACTCGGGAACCTCCGACTCCCAGCAGGCGTTGCTCATGCCCAGTGACATGCAGGCTGGGGACAAGCGCCGCAACTGCTCGGCTCAGAAGGGGAGAGGGGCCAGGGTCCCGGAAGAAGCGTGGAGAGGAGGCGCGGGGCCTGCTGACCTGAGCCCCGTGCTCTGTGAGATCCGACCCCCCCCCCCTTCCACACAAGGTGCCCGGCCCTCCAGCGCCCGGCAGGGAGGCAGGGAGGCCGGGAGGCTGGAGCAGCGGTGAGGCTGGGAGACACTGAGGCCCAATCCAAGGCCAGAGTGGGCCAAGGTGGAGGCTGTGTGTTTGTGCGTTTGGACCCTTGGACTCTAAGGCGTTCTCGGTCAGGGATACACAACCCACACCTGGCATCACCCCCAGGTGCACGCCCGCTGCGGCATTGCCCGCCGGCCCCAGCGCTCTCCAGCCTGGCACAGGCTGCCCCGTTGCATAAGCCTGCTAGTGCCGGCCAAAGGGCCTTTGCCCGAGGCCAAGGTTTCTTCGGGTTTCAGGAAGTGGGAGCCGGATTTCAGTTCTGATGAGGGCCAGGCAGGAGCCGCGTGGCCCTGGGCCAGGGGGTTGCTCCTCTTTCAGGGGGAGCCCTGAGCACCCCTCGTCCGAGTCCATGCCTTGTAAATCATACCTATATCTTCTCAAGTTACTGGTTTTGTTTTCTCCCAATAAATTGCTGGATCACATGGTACTTCTATTTTGAATGTTGTGAGAAAATAAATTGAATTAAAATGTAAGGAATTGCAGTCTGCCATCTGGGCCGG